CCTCCTCCTCCTCCCCCTCACTCACTCTCCACCCCTGTGACGCTCCTGCGGGACACAAAGAGTTAACCGCGATCTGAACGGCACGGCCCCCCCGGGCAAAACGGGCAGCAGCAACAGAAAGAAATACATCATCATCACCATCATCATCTTCAACAACAGCAACAGCATGAACCCGATGGCCAGAAACTCACCACCATTCCGGACTCCGAGCTGGGCGATGTTCACATTCACACACGGTCGCTCTCCCCCTTACTGTTCTGATCGGGGGTCTTTTTTTTCCCTCTTTCTCTTTCCTTTAGGATGATTTTCTCATGGTCTCGGAACGCCGCCTCCTCCTTCCTGCCTCCCCCCCCGTCCGTGCGCGTCTCAAGTCAGACCCCCCATATTCCTCCAAAAAACGGGGCGCGTCCCGCAGCCCTGAGGAGCTGAAGAGGCAGCTGGCGTCCCGCTCAGATGCTACTGGCACGCGTTTTCAGTCACATTTAGAATCGCGTATTTAAGTTTCGGGATAAAGCACCCCCCTTCCTCCTCCTCCTCTTCCTCTTCCTCTTCTCAGCGTCCCGGGGTCCCGAGCCTATAGACGCGCCTCCCGACACTGTGTCTCCGCTCGCATCAAGCAAACCCTGATGAGCGTCTCCGGGATCTCTTCGCCGCAACCAAAACCGAGGCGACAGGGGGGAGGTCCACCGAGGCCCCCAGCGGGCGTCTGTGAGCGTTTCAGCTTACGCGCCGACACAGACGACTTGAAAGCGAAACACGGGGGCGGGGGTGCAGCGAGCAGGAGACCCCTCCCTCCCCCGGACTCCACAGCCCGGGTCCGGCCGCGGTCTGGTTCAGCAGCTGCCCCCACCTCCCTGGCGTCGCCCCCTCCTCTCTCGTTCAGAGATGGGGCGCTCCGTGGAGGTGCCTGCGGACAAAAGGTGTTGCGCGCCGGGAAGCCGGGAGACCAGCTGCGGGCGGACGGATACTCCGGCGACTGGCCCGCCAGTTACAAAAACACAAACACGAAACGACTGCCTCTGGGTTCAGTGTGGGGGACGAGTGCGTTCCTGTTGCACGCCCCGTGCAACCTAAAAAAAACAAACGATGATCGATTCCCGTCACGCATGTGAAGAATCCCTCGCCCCCTCCTCCGGGTGCAGGAAGGGTCTTTGTGTTATATTATATCAGTGCGGTTTCTTCGGTGGGAAATCGACCTCCCGTTTTGTAAGGGGGGGTCGTATGGTCGACTCCACTCCACCCCCTCTTCAGGACGCAGGAATTGTTTTTATCTTTTTTTTCCTCTCTCTCTCTCTCACTGGAATTTGAGGCCGATTCGTGTTTTGAATCTCTCACATTGCCGTGAAATATTAAAACGAGAGCTCGTCTTTGTTGTTGCCTGAGCGGCGCATTACAAGCACGGGAACAAGGGGAGATGCATTTCACTCGGAGAAGTAAAAATAAACGCGAAAAAGCGCTGCCGCGGGTCGCTCGAACTTCCTGTAGTGTATCTGTACCGGTTTCATTTAATAAGCCTATTGCTTCAGATTTTTTTTAGTACACGTCTGCGGATTATCTTTTCATTAAAACAGAGGGTAGGTTTTCCTTATTTACGTTAAGTTTTAACATAGTTTGGGCCGTCATTCTCTCCATTACTTAGAAAACAGAACAAAAAAACACACAGATATGGAGAAATCATACGTCTTCAATTATGGTTACCGCGTACTGTCGGTACTATTTGATGTTGGGGGTTCTGCGAGCTTAAGGTGATCAAAACGAGACCGAGGATCGACATCTCTTGCGAGAGCCAGAAACTGTCAGACTCCCCCTTAGTTTGAGAGGTCTTTGCTGAAGGGAAGCCCGGGGTGAAAATGGCGCTTTTGCCCCCTTGTGGCAATTCTGCCCATCCTGGCCGGGTGGTTGCTAGTATTCCTGTTGATGTAAGGACCCCGTTCGGCCTTTCCCCGAAGGAACACGGGCCGTTTCTTTTCAGCAGCACCGCTGGGCAGCCTGTCCCTGAGTCCTCCCTCACAGCGCTTTGTGTAAAAGAAGACCCAGAGGTGTCTGAACCGTCCTGAAATAGTTTTTTTTTTATCCTACTTTTAAGTGAATGTGAGGCAGGAAGGCCTCAATGGAAGGAGCTCACTGCGGGGAGAGGAGTGATACTTTCTCTGCTACAGTCGACTGGTCCCAGCGCCTCTTCCATCAGGGTGAGCGCTGGCTTAAAGCACATGGACACTTGCGGCCTCCAAAAGTCTCAACTCAAAAGACTCGGGGATCTAAAATCGACCGCGAAAAGCAGTTCCAAAACTCGGAGCTATCTGCCACACAATGACCCTGAAACTGAGAACTCCCTGCTCATCCCTACAGCAGACAGACTACGTGGAAATAAACATTAAGTATAGTTTATCTCTGTTTAATGGTATCCATTTAACTGCAGCTCCATCTCATCATTTTGATGGTAAAGAAAGGTTTGCTGAGGATGCACTGTGATGTTGGGTTATAGCCCATCTGGATCCGTTCTGAAATACGTGGGTTTTTTGGCCTACTTTAAGTGAATGTCAGGCTCGTTCTATGTCCACACAGGTGGTCACCCCACTGGAGAAGTGGTACCCAAACTCTGACACAGAGAAGGTTATAAAAGAACAGGTTGTTTGTTTTTCTTGAATTTGTCAGGATTTCCCATTTGTAGAAACAGGACTAAAATAAGCCTTACACTAAAACCTCACGCTACACACAGTGTAATTCAAAACGAAAGTTCACGTTGTCATTGCTGTGGGCGATAACAGGAAATCAGTGTTCAGCTGAGGTTTGGGGACCGCTTCTCCATTCTCCTAACTAAATTCAATTTCTGACCACGTTTTGTGACTCATGGTTTTTGCAGAACCTTCTTGTTCGTGTCTCTCCTCACTCTTTTATGCCCAGTTGGCTCTAACCCAGTCTTGGAAGGAAAATTAAAAGCTGCCGAAAAAAATAATTTTCAAAACTCACGGACAGGAAGTACACAGGGGACACTAAATGAAGCTGCACAGTGCTCAGATACCCATTGTTCATAATGTGTCAGAGAATGGGCCCTATAGCCTAGACTTGCCATAAGTAAAGTACATATTAATTGGCGGAAATGGCAGTTCCTAATTACCACACCGCTCTTGAGTCATTATTTTAACTTTGGGTTGCCAAACTAATTTGAATCAGCGATGACTGTAACCCACATGACTCGAGGTTTTTAGCTCGTAAGGATTTAAAGATGCAGAATGGCAGTCAGTCTGCTCCGTGTGATCTAAGCTTTCAAGTAATCTTGCTTCATTACCAATATCCAGAGATTAAATGGGATTTCCTGAAGTTTACACAGCCAGTGCTCTCACCAGGCAACCCAGGATGAGCTGGTACTAAATAAACTCGAGTGAAATGATCAGATTAGTTACGTGCTGTGCAATTCGGGATGTGAAAGCCATATCACCCTGCAACTCACAACTGGCAACCCACTGAAGCTAAGCAGGTGTGAGCCTGGTCAGTACCTGGATGGGAGACTCCTGGGAAAAA